CAGAGCTGGAGAAGGAGCTGGCTGCTCTGCTGAAGGACACTCTGGGAGGCCTGGAGAAGCTTGACTGCTTCCTGGATTCAGTGGAGAAGCTGGCGGTCACCTCCCTTCATGTGTTCACAGAGAACCAGGTGTTGCATCTACCAGAAGGGATCAGCCTTAAAGATGTTCAGGTTGTCATCACTGCTGCACGGCTAATCTGCCCTCTCCTCCTCGAGTTTAAAAGAGATGCAAATGTCTTCTTCATTGCCAGACTTCAGAATGTGGAAGTGCTAGCATATCAGCTGGACAAATACATTCAGACCACCCAGGAAATCTGTGAGAAGCTGGAGAAAAGGTTTTTAGCTCTTATTATTATGTTATTTTCAATTGGCCAAAAATTAAAGCCACAAGCAGTGACAAGTGAGTTTTATGCTGCACAGAGCCAAGCAAAGTCAAAGTGAGACCAATCACACTTGCTGCGGCTCAAGGGTAGAGCAGGTTGTCCTCTAATCGGAACGTTGTTGGTTTGATCCTTTGCTCCTAACTCCGCATGTCAAAGTGTCCTTCTGCAAGATACTGAATCCCAAATTGCTCCCCCGATGCTATGCATCGGTGTGTGAATGTGAATGAATGAGTTAGTTTCCGTTTGATGGGTAATTGTGCCATGTAGTGTAAAAGCGCTTTGAGTGGTCAAAACAAAGGCGCTTTACAAGACCAAAGCCTGCAGTGGTTCAATAGTTGCGCCCTCCAATCCAATCGAGAGTCCTGCCTGAGTTGTAACCGATGAATTGTCTCTGTTTTCAGCTCTTGAAGCAAATACTTAGACATTTGTTAATAGTTTTGCTACAATCATGTTTAAATGTCATCGAGTTTTGTGAAATGCTGTTGTGCACATCATTTCTAGTTTTTGCGTCAGGTTTCATGTTTCTTGCTTAGTCCAGTTCGTGGCAATTCAAGCCAAACTGGCACAAATGCAATAGGGCTCTAACTTAAGTAGAAAAAACAAAGGTTCTTTACACAAAATAAATTATAATTGATTGTTTCCTTTTTAGTCAGAAACCCCTGATAATGTCTAAACAAACTATGGTAGACCTTGGTGTGGATTTGTCTGAAGATGACACACAACGGATACTTTGTCACATAAATGAGCTTGTTGGATATAGGTAAGTATTAACTCTCTATGGTTTGTTTGGGGCCAGATATACATATATATGGTTTTCACATATATATATATATATATATATATATATATATATATATATATATATATTATAGAGAGTATTATAAGAGTTTTACATACAGGATATATTAAGAGATTGTTCCCTTTTTAGACTACTTGTTCAGAGAATGACAACAAAAACTGTGGCTGACCTTGATGTGGATTTGTCTGAAGAAGATGTACAAAGGATTCTTTGTCATATTAATCAGCTTGATAAAATCAGGTAAGTATTATCCATGTATGTTTGGTTTGGGTCCAAGTATATATATGTAATCATACACTCACTGACCATTTTATTAGGTACACCTGTGAAATCCAATGCATTCAAATAAATAACTCTGCCATGAATTCTACTTTTATGATGAATTTTATATATATTTAATTTTTTATACATTTATATTATATTATTATCATATTATAATATATTTTGTTTTTGTTGACACTGATCAAAAAGGTGATAATTATATTTAATGTTTATTATTGAGGTCATAGTGGTTGGTGGTATATTGGAGTGCATTATATTAAAATGGTGTTTCTATTTTTTTCCCTTCTAAAGTTTGTAAATGGGATGGACAAAATATTAGAAATACAGCAGTACAGTACAAAACCATAATCCATTAATTCCATTATTTCACAGACTTCAGTCTGAAAGTTGAATGATGAAAATATTGAGACAACATAACAAATTAAGTACATACAGACTTTTAGATGGACACAAACGTAAAATATGAATTAAATGAAGAGATAAGAAATATCAAACATCTCGGCAGATGGTTCAAAGCTTGAACTGGATTAAAAAATTCAGTTAAATAACAAATGTGGTGGATCAGTAAACAAACTCCAATATTTAATATACCTGTATTTTTCAGTATAACTGTTTTAATATTTTCCATGGAGGAATTTTATCTTATTTTGAGGTAATTTATACACGTGTAGATTTCTTAAATGCACCTGGAGGAGTGTACACACACACTGTTGTATCCATGCTGACGTCTTTTATCTAGTGACGTGGGCATGATGTAAACATACCGCAGCTCGACATATGGCACATGAGTGCTCTTTGTATGTTTGGCATGATTGAAAACCTTATTGGCAATATTAAAGACAAAATTAGATTATTTTTTATTTACACAGTTTATTCTCACAGCTCTTGCTCTGTAGTGCTGTGGGATCTATACAAAGAATGCAGTTATATGGTGAGATGCAGTATAATGCGCTGTCATGTTGTGTGTGATAAATAATAATTTATAGGATCATTTAAATTCAAAGTGTTGTAACAAAAGTACGAGTAAATAATGATAACAAAAAAATAGGTAATCCTAACACTGATCCATACATAAATGCGAAGATTATAAAAGGAATATAAAATGATTCAAATCTACAAAATTAATAAACAGTTACGGTATGTTAAACAATTTACATATCTAAAGGAACACTATAAGGTTTCAAAATCTGTGGAAGCATGGATTTCTCATTTTGGCTCCTTGCATCTCTCTCCCCTCCTTGCGGAGATGGTCTAAGGGAGCCATCAGTGGGAGAACTGAAGATGATGTTCCAGGGGCAGATGTAACAGAATGTTAACATAATGTTTGTTTGTTTGCTGTTTGTTTGCCAACCAGGAAATTCCACAGGGCACCTTTAATATTGAGGGTTTGTTCAACTCAATAATTTTAAAGCCATATTATGTTTATACAGAATGTTAATGTTGGTTGGTCTTGAATACATATTTAATCTTTAATGCTTTGTGGATTATCCAGATTAATAATATCAAACAAAGAGGTAATTGAAAGATGGCCTAAAAGAGGCAAAAATCATCTCCAAAGACCTGAGGCTGCTTGCAGAAACACATTTATATATTCCACATAATAATGGTTAAATAATGTAATGTGTAAATGTATTAATTAATTATTTAATTTTGTCTCACCTCTTTATCAGGTTGGACCAGCACTTCAGGATGGTGTTCTTGTTCCAGGAGGAATCATGTTCTAGATTCATAAATGAGTTCACAGAGCGAAAGCCCAGGATGCTGGAGTTTCTAAAAGACCTGGAAGAGTGTGCTGTTCAGCTAGACAGGATGAACAAGGGGGCAAAGATCTCCAGTGTGGCAGGCAGCTCAGTGGGGGCAGTTGGAGGTGTGCTTTCCATTGTTGGTTTGGCATTAATCCCTGTAACAGCAGGAGTGTCTCTAGCTCTGACGATGACTGGGGTAGGGCTGGGAATTACCAGCGGAGTCAACAGTGCTGTCACCACTGCCACAGAGATTGGAGTAAACCGTACACAGCAAAAGAAAGCCAGTGAAGTCTTCAAGAGCTTCATGGAGGATGTGCAGACTCTCCAGGATTCTTTGGAGGAGGTGACCAAAAGGGAAACAAACCCGATAGATGTGGCTGTGGGAGTTGGCAAGGTGCTTTGTAAAGTTGGTGTTGTTGGAAAAGGCATTGATTCACTTGTTGATTTGGGCTCTGCTGTTAAAGTGTTGAAAAGTGAGGAGCTGCTTACAAGTGCTGGCAAGGTGGTGGTCCAGGAAGGTAAAGCATTACGTAACGTTCCCAGGGTGGCCTCAGACATCCCAGATATCGGTCAGGCAGCAGTCAAAGGGCCTCTTGCCCTCTCCAAGTCAGCCAGGGCAGGTTTTATCGCAGTCAATGCTCTTTTCCTTGGGATGGATATCTTCTTCATCTGCAAGGACAGCATCAGTCTATACAAAGGCAGTGAGACTCAATTATCACAGCTCATCAGAGCCAGAGCTGCACTCTGGAGCTCAGAGATAGACTCATGGCAGAAGATCCATGACTCCCTGAGCGAAGGTCTGGTGAGATCAGGGAAAAACCAAATTATCATGGAGACGCCATTTTATCCGGAGATGGAGACGAAGAAGAACCAGAGAACCAAACCAAAGAGAACCAGAAATAGAAATTCCATCTGATGAAGTGGATGAGGACGAAAAACTGAAACTGAAAGAAAAGTATTGTGTAATACAGTAGTACTCTTTGAGGAGAGATTACTGTGTGCCTTTTGCCAACTTTAACACTATGATCAGATATGAGATAATTTGATATGATCGAACCATGTGTGAAAATGCAACTCTGCTTATAGCTCACTGTTCAGCATCAAACATGTAACAATGTATCTTTGAGGGTTTCTTAATGATCTGTAATTTCAATGACATATATTGATTGACCTGATATATGGACTGTGTGTTTCTATCTTGACTGTATTCAAGAACCCTTTGCCCGTTGCAGAACATAATGTATATAGGTATCATTTAGTAATCCCTGCTTTACCTGACCTGGGTAAGGTGACCAACTTTACCGTCTCTGCTGACATCAGAGAAAAAAAAACGAGCTGTCCTGGAGATGCATTTTCTTCCAGAGAGGGAGATGAAGGAACACAGAGACAAAATTAAATTTCTATCTGATGAATATCAGATAGTGGTCACTATATCTGTGGCAACTGCCAATAGCAGTAAAGCACTGATCAGCATCAAACAAGAGTCTATCTTTGATTAATATTAGCTCTATTTCTGATGACACATGATTTATTGAGTCCACATTTGAACTGAATCACATGGGCTATATGTTTTTGTTTGATCGAATTTATATTCTGCCATTATGAAGCTTGACTCGATGCATTAAATGTCATTCAGTTACTGAGAATAAAATTATGTGAAAAACTACTTTGGAACTGCAATGGGTTGCATTTTAAAATGATTAAATAAATGTTTTCCCATATACAAACATTTGTTGTCTTATGGAAAAATAAAATTCAGTGTGTAGTTTAGATTGTATGAGAATAATGTGAGATGTCACGTCTGCTTCATCTACCGTATCAGAACACAGAGATGCCAAATGTTTTTGTTTCAGAAACTGGAGCCAATTTTCTATTGCTGTGGTGTCAGTGGGGGTACCTGCTTTACCTGTCCTTGCAAAGTGTTATTTTTGTAATGTTTTCACATTTTACAATTAATCTTATATCTGTTTCCACTCATTTTATTTTAAGCACTTTTTTTTCTTGAATTGTATTAAATAAATGTATCTAAATTTAAGACACAGTTTGAGTTCCTTTATATGATATGTATCAGTAAGAATTAAGGTAAAATCACTTTTTGTAACTCTGATTTTTACAATTAATAAAGAGAATTCTTCCATCTCTTGTAAAATGTGGTTTGTTCATTATTTAGGCAAACAAGGTAAGATTGTGATTTTTGGGTATTAAGAAGAGGATTTGGTGCTCCTGGCAGCATGTGCTGTATCCTGCTATATTCTCATTTACTTTCATTTTCATTTAATTACAAAGATGAAGCTCGTATGAATATGCTTTAAACTCAGACTAGGGATAATCAAGAAAAACATTCCTACTTCAGCAAATGAAAGTGAAATCTGCCTTGAAGAGTAAAACTCTGTACATACATCATTCTGCACAGGGAAGTTCTAACAGTCAAGTAGAACAATAAAAATGTCACCTCAAGAACGGAAATGCAAGGAGAACTTTGTGCCTAAAGAGATCTCAATCTTAACCAGAAGGAAGCTCCAGAGACTGGATCAGCTTGATGATAGCATTAATTTCAATACCCCAGGAACTGATGTCTTTTTTTTTTTTAATGTGCAGATGGCAAATAATGTCAGCAAGCTGCTGACAACTGTCATTCTTACACAATATCTGCGCAAGTTCTCCTTTTTAATGGACGCTCCAGCCAAACAGTGAAGATGGCATGTGAAAGAGAGCGGCCCTGCTTGGCCTCATGGCACAAAGTAAATGTGGTGATGAAAAACTAATCAATGTTCTGTACATAAGGATTCATCCAGGTCCATTCTATGTGGTCAAATGCTCCCTTAACCTCAACTGCTCCAGCGAAACTGTTCAGTGGACTGAGGCTGTACTGGGTAGCTTCCAGGTATGAATCTATGCTGTGGAAAGACTGGAAATACAGGGCTCTATTTTAACTTGTATTATTGATGTTTTATAGGTCACCCAGAATTTTCTTTGGATCTCCCTTAACTTGAAAAACTGTGACATCCTCAACCCTAATCTCTAGTTTATAGGCCGAGAGGCATTTTATATATGAGTAGATGTCCTATCAAACCAGTTACAGGGTCCCTGAGTCACAAATGGTCAGACATTTGTCTGATTTCCTCCAGACAGCTGTTCCAAACAGCAAATATAAGAAAGGGCACATTTACAACTGTCACTCTGGAAGCAAACATCTGCTTTACAGGCAATACATTTTCATATCTAAAAAAAACTGATAACAATTAATAAATGCCTGTATTGACCCTGACTTTCAGTGGGTCAACTCAGGACATTACTTTCATTTTTACTTTTGTCTTAAACACACTGACTACTAGTTCCTCTTTTGTAAATTCCCTTTAACACTCCTGGAAACACTACATTCATTTTCATTTGGGCGTAGCCTAAAGTAAGAGAAAGCAAGGACAGCTAGGAGGGAGGAGAGGGGAAAAAATGGGAAAACCAGAAAACATTTTCTCCATAAAATATGATCCAGTTTCACTAGAATCTGCCACATAGTTGGTGGTGTGTTACCAAGATGATGACCATGGTAACAATCATTCCTGCCTAGCATCAGTATGTTAATAATGTTATTGCATTTGCTTGATTTAACTTATATTCAGCCACTATGAAGCTTGAGAATTTTGTTTCAGAAACTGGAGCCAGTTTTCCATAGCTGTGGTGTCAGTGGGGGTAGCAGCTTTACCTGTCCTTGCAAAGTGTTATTTTTGTAATGTTTTCATTTTACAATCAAACCTAAAAACTCTGTACATACATCATTCTGCAAAGACCCCTTTACACTTTGGCTTTTTCTACCACTGAGGTGCCCTTGAGCAAGGCCCTTAACCCCAACTGCTCCGGTGGAACTGCTCAGTGGCCAGCAGATCAGACTGTGGTTGTGTGGTTTATAGGCCTAGAGGCAATTCATATATAAGATTATATGTCTCGCTGTCTGTCACAATCAAACCAGTTACATGGTCCCTATTACATGTGCTCAGGTATTTGTCTGTGTTACGACCTCAAATGTGAAATCCAGGGGTGAGAGGAGCAACAATTAATGAATAACCCAGGAATATAGAAAAATGGAAAAACTGAATAATATGTACCAACAAAACAATCTATTAATCAGGTTAATGTCTTACTTACAAATTAAAAGCTCAAGGTTTCAACAGAAATATACTTCTTAAAACAGAAAGTGAAAATAGCGTTTCTCTCTCAGGGGAAGGTGACCTTAAGTGTTTATTTGCTTCATGGTTTTTGTTTCAGTAATGGCACACACGCACACACAGACGACGTACAGCACAACACAACTCTGTTTCGCAGTTTGCTTGCTGTTGTCCTTGTTTTAAAGCTGGTTGGACTGATTGATGAAGTATTGTCGGAGGGGAGGGCGATACCTGGAACAGGGCACACAGAACAGGGCAGAAGCAAAACAAAACACCACACTATACTCGTAACACCCCCTCCCATAAGAGCAAACCATTAGTTTGCTAAAGGGGCTTAACAAAACATAGCTTTAAAATGACACTAGCCCAATTGGAGAAAAGAAGTAGATACCTCTTCAAGTAGGTTATATGTTGAAACTAAAATTAAGTTGGCTTTACATTCAAAAACTTAAGTAGCTTTTACAAAGACCTGCCTTGCTACATCTAAATAATAATATGATGCAAAAAGTTGCCTTGATTTTTTAAAAAGTAAATCATGCAGAAAATTTTCATCAGTGTAAAGTCTAAAAGACCTTTGGGTGTAAAACTATATCAAATACCAACTGCAAATTAATGAACATGGGCTGTATGTTTTTGTTTGATTAGATTTATATTCTGCCACTATGAAGTTTGACTCGATGCATTATATGTCATTCAGTCACTAAGTTACAAGAATAAGATTATGTGAAAAATCCCTTCACCTTGGAACTGCAATGGGCTGCATTTTAAAATGATTCATTAATTTTTTTCCCATATACATTTACTGTAACAGAAAACAGAGAAGCCAAATGTTTTTGTTTCAGAAACAAGAGCCAGTTTTCCGTAGCTGTGGTGTCAGTGGGGGTACTTGTTTTACCTCAATACAGGCTTTGTCTGCCTGTATAGACCCTGACTTTCAGTGGGTCAACTAAGGACATTACTTTCATTTTTACTTTTGTCTTAAACACACTGACTACTGGTTCTTTGTTTGTAAATTCCCCTTAACATTCCTGGAAGCACTACATTCATTTTCATCTGGGCGCGGCCTAAAGTAGGAGAAAGCAAGGACAGCTAGGAGGGAGGAGAGGGGGAAAAAGGGGAAAACCAGAAAACATTTTCTCCATAAAATATGATCCAGTTTCACTAGAATCTGCCACATAGTTGGTGGTGTGTTACCAAGATGATGACCATAGTAACAATCATTCCTGCCTAGCATCAGTATGTTAATAATGTTATTGCATTTGCTTGATTTAACTTATATTCAGCCACTATGAAGCTTGAGAATTTTGTTTCAGAAACTGGAGCCAGTTTTCCATAGCTGTGGTGTCAGTGGGGGTAGCAGCTTTACCTGTCCTTGCAAAGTGTTATTTTTGTAATGTTTTCATTTTACAATCAAACCTAAAAACTCTGTACATACATCATTCTGCAAAGACCCCCTTTACACTTTGGCTTTTTCTACCACTGAGGTGCCCTTGAGCAAGGCCATTAACCCCAACTGCTTCGGTGGAACTGCTCAGTGGCCAGCAGATCAGACTGTGGTTGTGTGGTTTATAGGCCTAGAGGCAATTCATATATAAGATTATATGTCTCGCTGTCTGTCACAATCAAACCAGTTACATGGTCCCTATTACATGTGCTCAGGCATTTGTCTGTGTTACAACCTCAAATGTGAAATCCAGGGGTGAGAGGAGCAACAATTAATGAATAACCCAGGAAAAGAGAAAAATGGAAAAACTGAATAATATGTACCAACAAAACTATCTATTAATCAGGTTAATGTCTTAATTACAAATGAAAAGCTCAAGGTTTCAACAGAAATATACTTTCTTAAAACAGAAAGTGAAAATAATATTTCTCTCTCAGGGGAGGCTGACCTTAAGTGTTTATTTGCTTCATGGTTTTTGTTTCAGTAATAGCACACACGCACACACAGACGACGTACAGCACAACACAACTCTGTTTCGCAGTTTGCTTGCTGTTGTCCTTGTTTTAAAGCTGGTTGGACTGATTGATGAAGTATTGTCGGAGGGGAGGGCGATACCTGGAACAGGGCACACAGAACAGGGCAGAAGCAAAACAAAACACCACACTATACTCGTAACACCCCCTCCCATAAGAGCAAACCATTAGTTTGCTAAAGGGGCTTAACAAAACATAGCTTTAAAATGACACTAGCCCAATTGTAGAAAAGAAGTAGATACCTCTTCAAGTAAGTTATATGTTGAAACTAAAATTAAGTTGGCTTTACATTCAAAAACTTAAGTAGCTTTTACAAAGACCTGCCTTGCTACATCTAAATAATAATATGATGCAAAAAGTTGCCTTGATTTTTTAAAAAGTAAATCATGCAGAAACTTTTCATCAGTGTAAAGTCTAAAAGACCTTTGGGTGTAAAACTATATCAAATACCAACTGCAAATTAACGAAGAGTAAACAATTATCTCTGAATTCAAAACTAAGGTCTATAAAGTAAATATTACATATTGCTAGATGGTACTTTACATCTACAATGTTTGGTCAGGTGTACCACAGTAGCTTGTGCTTTACTTTTTGTAACATCAGTATCCAGCTGTTATCACTCTATTAACTATGTAGTAATTAGCTGCCAATCATTTTTTAAACTACCTGGTAACATGACATAGCACTCTGCTTTTCTTTTGTCTTCTTCCAGATTGAAGAAAATTAAGTTTGGGTGGTCTGAGTAGGTGAACAAATGACGCCCCATGAAGATGCTTTACCATCAAATGAGAACTCTAACTGACCATCTCCACCAGCAGCATGCCTTTCTGTGCTTTGTTATCAGAGACAGACTGGCCTGGTACAATGGTTGCTCTCATCCAACGCCTCAAAGAGCTGGAAAGAAGGCTACATCATGCCACTGTGTTGTTCCACCAATATGTGCCAGACATTGTACCTGCAACACACACTTACATCACCCCAGACAACCCCTTTTTGTCTCAGGCATGTCAAGCATACAGACGCTGAAATACAATGATGATGGTGATTATTTCTGCTTACTGATTTTAATGAGCAATGTGAGCAAGTTTGAATGTTTTGGTATGTATTGTTCAATATGTCAGTGCGACCCGAGATTGATCAAACTTAGACAATTTAGGTTGTTTGTGTGTTTTCCATCATAGGTGGTTAGGATGCAATTGAAATTCTTTAAAATAACATTAAAATAAAAGTGCCCTTTTTAGCCAGAGATTCCCAAGATACACAAAACATCAAAAGGATAAAAAAAATAAGAAAGTCCAAAGGGACAAATGGACGTGAAATAAGTTGTACATTGCATTCACAATGGTCTTAAGGTCTTAAAAAGTCTTAAATCTAACTTGTGGAAACTGTAGAAAGCCAACTACAATAACCTAAGAATCCCTGTTCCATGCTGTTAATTTAGGTGGGAAAATGTCTACTCAGACATTTTTTCAATGAGAATTTAAATCTATATAGTGACTCATCTTAATGCCTATTGGTAACCCATCACTGGATGGCACTTGAACCAAATCAAATCAGTTGTACTCCCTCGTGTGGTGTAATTACGGTATTCACTAACTTTGGTAAATTAGTTGCACAGGTAACATCATTATCAATAATCCTGTGAGTTAAACACATTTTATTCTGTAAAACTCTGTCTGAACTATCTTGACCCAAAAAAACCTGGTTTAAACTTGCTCTTTTTGAACAATAAACACTGTTTTTGTAGAAGTTGTTGTGTCAGCGACTTTCTTAAGCCTTAGTACTCTAGGTATATTGGTGAATAACTTTATAATTAACACTAACCATATTAATGTACACTATTTCTTTGTAAAAATTGACACATTTGTAGATTAAGGTTACTGATACATTCAATGTCAGTTTGTAAAAGTGAAAATGAACATACAGCTGTGTTGACTACAAATAAAAATTTTTATAAAAAAGTAAATAACTTAATAAAAAATCATTCTAAAATGACTTTACATTTATGAGATTGTTTCCACCAACTTGTTGGCCAGCATATTTTTTATACTTTAGCAGCATAAACTTTAGACTAAATACACTTCTGAACTGCTGACCACTGGAGTTCTGGCGAAAATCTCGCATGAACGCCAAAAGTCCCAAAAAGAAGAAAAAAAACTGCACCACAAACACTTTTATTCACCATTCCTCCACTTCTTTTGTGTATGTTACAACAGGTCTCCCTCAGGAGACACAGAAATGACTTCATCAGTCACTTAAAGCTTTGGGTCTTATCATCAACATCTATATTTCTGGTAGTCGTTGAACAGGAAACAGGAAACCAGCACAGGCGCGCAGTCGATACTGTGCTGTTATAAAACTCAGTTGGTAAAACTCAGCGAGTGAGTTGAGCAGGTGACGTGGAGAAAGGAGAACAAAACCAAACACACTTGTGCATACTTGCCGAAGTTTTGTCCACAATTGTTGATTGAGGTATATCAGCAGGCAAAAACATGTTTTGATGATCTTTGCCACAATAAAAAAAAAACAGATTTCTAATCTTGATTGGATTTATTTAAATTCTAACCACACAGGTAATCGATGAAGCCCAAATAAGGATCTGAAGACAACATACAGAGAGGAGGAAACATGTCTACAGCCAGGTAAGGAGTTTGAACCTTTGGGCTGCACAGAAAATGAGAGAAAAGCTAATAGTAACTGTAAAGTGTTAAATAAGGTAGCGGACAGATATTGGGATGTCAGAAACTCCAATAAAGAACACAATAACTTAATAATATGATATTCAATGAATCCGACCTTTTAGTGTGTTTTGTAACCCTCAGTGCACACTTACATACCTGATCCTAGAAATTAATGTTGTATCTTAAAAACAATGGCAACAAAAAGAGAAATAAGCAGCTCTTAGCTTCGGTTATGTCAGTAAAGACAATTATTCATTGTGAATCATCGTAAAATAATTTCAGTTTAAAATCTATCATATTGCAAACTATTGGGCCCAAAGAATATGTGGAACACTATTTAATCACTATTGGACTCATTATACCTGTTGATCTACTCATTTTGCGACACCATTTGTGCTCTGGTGACATCTGCTGGTCAGATCTTGTAAACGCGACAATTACTAAAACTCATATGACCATGAATTGAACCATTGTTCCAAACCTTTGTGGCCTGTGGATCCTAAAACAAAACAATATTACTAGTTGGAAATTACTAGAAAATAGATAGATCTGAATTTATTCCATTTGATGTCCCATATTCTATTTTATGTAAATAGAAAGGACAATAAAGTAACCTGAATAATTTCATACCATTTGTATCATTAAATCAGTCAAACAGCAAAGATTAAAGGATTTTCAGTTTTTAAAGTAGTTTTACTGCTCTTCATTCCTGTCAATCATCATCTCTCTTGTGACCTCTTGGAGGGATTCTGACCCCCAGGTTGGGAACTACTGATGTATGTAATAGGCCTTCATATGTGGGTGGGCTTTGTGGTTTGAATCCTTAATGTATCATTTGTTTATAAATACTGTCGGCTATGTGTGACAATTAGTTTATCTTATATACAGTATTTATGTCCTTTTTGTGCACTCATATATAGAATTTAAAGAGACAGCCAACATTATCAGGTCTGGTCTGAACACAAAATGTGTACCAGATGCATAAAAGGGATAGGCTAACACTAGGACACTTAGTTTTTGTGTATTTTGTTTCTCTTTGTGCTATTTTTTTTGTCTCTTTGTACCTCCTCAATCATTTTGTTCCTTCTTTTAAATGTTCACGCATTTCTCTGTAGTCATTTTGTGTCTCTTCATAGTTGATTTATGTCTTTTTGCATCTCTTTGTAGACGTTCTGTATCTTTTTCAGTTTCAGTTTTTCAGTCTTGCAATGTGAGACTAACTGTGAGACATAATATCGTCCAGAATTTGTTTTCAAATCTCACAAACTGGATGTCGTCTTGTCTTGCAGAAAGGAGCTACAGGAGGCCTTGTGCCACTACACCGAAGATACTCTAATCTACATTGACACTGTGAGAGGATTCTGTGAGAGTACCTCTAAATGGATGATTGGGAGGGAGTCAGAGTTGGACATGATGAGAGACATGAAGGACAGGGCTGACAAAATTGACCTGAACTTTAACCATGTAACCAAGTCAGAGACCAAAGGTAAAGCCTTTTGGGAATATATGAAGAGCAAGGTGACCCAGGTGACTGCAGAGAGCAGGCGTGCAGAGCTGGAGAAGGAGCTGGCTGCTGTGCTGAAGGACACTCTGGGAGGCCTGGAGAAGCTTGACTGCTTCCTGGATTCAGTGGAGAAGCTGGCGGTCACCTCCCTTCATGTGTTCACAGAGAACCAGGTGTTGCATCTACCAGAAGGGATCAGCCTTGAAAATGTTCAGGTTGTCATCACTGCTGCACGGCTAATCTGCCCTCTCCTCCTCGAGTTTAAAAGAGATGCCAGTGTCTTCTTCCTTCCCAGACTTCAGAATGTGGAAGTGCTAGCATATCAGCTGGACAAATACATTCAGACCACCCAGGAAATCTGTGAGAAGCTGGAGAAAAGGTAAACTTTTTCAAAATAATATTCAGATTTTGCAAAATAAAAACATCTATTTTAGGAAGTAAATGTAACTGTGTCTTCCACAGCTCCTTCTGTGAGTTTGACCTGAAGATGATTATGAAAACTGTGGTAGACCTCGATGTGGATTTGTCCGAAGATGACATACAAAGGATGTTGTATCACATTAAGCAGCTTGATGATATCAGGTAAGCACATCTTTCTTATCTTAATTTATTTATATTTTGAAAGCACTTTATTTTTCTGTGTGATTTGTATATTTTATGCACCAATGCACCAGGACACATTCCTCGTAGGTGTAAAAACCTACTTGGTAATAAACATAATTCTGATTCTCATTCTGATTCTGACATTAAGCCAAGATGATGACAATCATTCCTGCCTAGAATCAGTATGTTAACATTGTTATTGTTAACATGTTAACATGTTGACGTTAGCATTTAGCTCAAAGCATAGACTTTAAATGTACTGAAACTAAATTAAATTCGTGGCATTGGGCTTTCCCAGCAGGAATTAAGACCTCAGTATAATTAGTAATTTATTTTATTTTATGAAATATTGTTGCCACATTGGCTTATCTTTGTTTTATGTGAATGTTATTGCTCCTTATAGCATCCTAGTGTCTGTTCAAAACGGATTTTTTAAGTAACCTGCTCATCTTTTGGATATCTCATCTTATTCATTCTTTCTTAATTTTTTCTTTTCTTCATATCAGGATGAACCAAAACTTCAGGATGGTGTTCTTGTTCCAGGGGGAATCATGTTCTGGCTTCATCACTGAGTTCACAGAGCGAGAGCACAGGATGCTGGGGTTTCTAAAAGACCTGGAAGAGAGTGCTGTTCAGCTAGACAGGATGAATAAGGGGGCAAAGATCTCCAGTGTGGCAGGCAGCTCAGTGGGGGCAGTTGGAGGTGTGCTTTCCATTGTTGGTTTGGCATTAATCCCTGTAACAGCAGGAGTGTCTCTAGCTCTGACGATGACTGGGGTAGGGCTGGGAGTTACCAGCGGAGTCAACAGTCTTGTTACCACTGCCACAGAGATTGGAGTAAACCGTACACAGCAAAAGAAAGCCAGTGAAGTCTTCAAGAGCTTCATGGAGGATGTGCAGACTCTCCAGGATTGTCTGGAGGAGGTGACCAAAAGGGAAACAAACCCGATAGATGTGGCTGTGGGAGTCGGCAAGGTGCTTTGTAAAGCTGGTGTTGTTGGGAAAGGCATTGATTCACTTGTTGATGCTGCCTCTGCTGTTAAGATGTTGAAAAGTGAGGAGCTGCTTACAAGTGCTGGCAAGGTGGTGGTCCAGGAAGGTAAAGCATTACGTAACGTTCCCAGGGTGGCCTCAGACATCCCAGATGTTGGTCAAGCAGCAGTCAAAGGGCCTCTTGCCCTCTCCAAGTCAGCCAGGGCAGGTCTCATCGCAGTCAATGCTCTTTTCCTTGGAATGGATATCTTCTTCATCTGTAAGGACAGCATCAGTCTGTACAAAGGCAGTGAGACTGAATTCTCACAGCTCATCAGAGCCAGAGCTGCACTCTGGAGCTCAGAGATGGACTCATGGCAGAAGATCCATGACTCCCTGAGCAAAGGTCTGCTGACATCAGAGAAAAAACAAGCTGTGCTGGAGTCGCCATTTTATCCAGGGAGAGAGATCTAGAAACAAAAAGAAACAGAAATAGTAATTTCATGTGACAAAGTGGTCGAAACATGAAATAAAATACATAGTATTGATAAATAATAGCGCTCTGTCAGACTACTTAATTTGCGGCAACACTCGCAGAGCGAAATCCCGCTAATGTTTGAATTATGTCTAAATCCATTTTATATCAATCATATATGATTAAACATTGCATACAACAGAAAATCACTGATCATCCTTAACTACACTTTACAGTAGGTCGCTGGTAGTTTAACCATTTGAATCACTGTGTAGCTGATTTACTTTTTTGCTTTTTTGCCTAATTGCTATTGATAAACAAATGTTCAGGGAAGTTGTTCAACCCTATTTTAGAAGTTACCTGGCAAACTGTAATCCTGCTAAAACCCTCACTTAGACTCTAGTTTCTGGTTGTTAAAAATCAAATGTGACATTTCTTGCACTTTCCCATGAATAGTGAGGTATTTTAATGCTTTGGTTCATGTAAGACCTGTGGACAAGTTGCCACTTTTAGCTTTAGTTAACCAAACTAGAGTTCACCCTGGAGCTAGATATATTTTAAGATTAAATTGTATTACCAATGAAGTGCCTACTATGTTTTTATCGTCAGACACTGAAGTCAAATTATACCAGTGTTTTGTTGAATTATTAAAAATGGTGTACCTGTCTTGTCTTTTTTTTAAATGTTCAATGCTTTAATTTTATAATGTAATCTTGCTTCATTATCTGAGCATATACTTTGGCATTAACAATAATAAACATATTTCATTAAGTAACCGCTGAAATAAACTGTGGTGTGATTCTTTTATGTTTCAAAGCCACTATCTTTGGATTAGGACCTTCATAAATTTGGTAGGGGAATAATGGGGACCCTCATACACACTCATTAAATGGTTCAAGGTTTGTCACAACACAGGTTTGCACAGTTTGGGATAACATTGATGTGGGGGATAGTAGCAGCCAAAAAAAAGTATACTTTTAGTCAGAAAAATGGTTCATTGAATGAGTTTTGTCATTCAAATGAAGTAGCTACGGTAAGTGTTGTGGACATTTGGGCACCTTTGATAATTTGGTTGGATTTTTATTTTGTTTTGGTTGCAATGAATTTGGTTACTTATTTTGACCGGTCCACCTTACATCTATGAACTCTAGATGCAGTAGGAGACAACAGACGACAGTTCTTAATTTGTGTAAATTTCACAGTTTTACAAATTTTTATACTATACTGTATAAAAGCCCCACATGAGCACTTTCAACTGGTTTTCTCAGTTTGTCTCTACATGATGTATAAATAAATTTAATGTTGCTCCAGTTCCAGAGGGGTTTTTAAACACTTTATTATATTTCAAGCTTACTGTTGGTGGCAGTATATACCCAGCAGTCAGTATTTCCCTTACAGGAAGAAACCAACAGCCAATAACATTCACAATCCAAGTCCAGAGTCCAGCTAGTGTACCTGTGAGGTACAGGTTTCTGCTCTAATCTAGTGCCACATGCAAACATTTGTCTGTGTGATTCAGAAGTAACATGGAACAGATCACCGACTATCTCTGCAGGTATAAAAACTACAACTTCCCCATTGGACTCATTACTGCAGAGTATATTGATTCACTCCAGAGCTTTGAAATTCGAGATAATGACATATTCCTTGTCACTTATCCAAAGTCAGGTCAGTGAGACAAACCCTTTTGTATTTTCATTTACAGTTTTGTCCATTGCTGAGAACAGGTTATGTCTCATAACTTATGTCCCCCCACAGGAACTATATGGACTCAGCAGATCATCATCTCCATCTGTGAGTTAGACGGAGGTCTGAATGAATATCCAAACAACTCGGAGCAGATGCCGTGGCTTGAGTACCCAGAGGGTCGAGATTACTATCTGCGACCCTCTCCACGGCTCTTCACCTCTCACCTCACCCCGACTCTCCTGCCTCTGGGACTGAAGGACAAGAAGGCAAAGGTCAGTATTTTATGGAAGCTCAATTTTACCAGGTAAATAAAGGTTTGTTAAAATATAGAGAGAAAGTTTTAAATGATACATCCGAATATAAAGTACATAGATATTGTGGTGAATCACAATTATGTGTAGGGTTGCAAATAATCTTCTACACTACCATAAATGCTCATCTGCTCATTATTTGTTGCGATTAATGGATTAATCTATGAAGTGTCAGAAAATGCCTACAATTATTTCCCAGAGATTATTTTTGTTCCACCAACAGACCAAACCCCAAAGATATTCAATTTACTATAACATAACACAGGGAAAAGCAGGAAATCCTCACATCTGAGCAGCTGGAATGATCAGCATGTTTTTTATTCCTAGCAGGAATGAGTTTCCATATTCACTGTGTGCCTATAAACTACTAATTAAGGTGCAATAAAATAGTGAATTATTTGAATGAAGTTTGGCATAGACAAGACAATAGTATTGGTTTCAGCTCTGGGCTGATTGTTGTTTGTTTTTTATGTCAGATTATCTATGTGATGCGGAATCCAAAGGACATCATCGTCTCCTATTACCACTTCAGTGCTGTCATCAAGGACCTGGAGACGCCAAAGAGTTTTGAACACTTTTTTGAGGACTATATGACGGGCAACGGTGAGGTACTTCAGGGTCTGGATAATGATTATGATCACCACATAGAGTTAAAAGCAGATTTGACAGAAATATTTGAAAGACTTTGTAATTTTATGTTAAAAAGTCTGGGTTGTGTTCATGTTGACATATATAGAGGACTTTGTTACGAATATTTCATCAACAATTTAGTAATAAGAACTGTTTCAAATTAAAAATCTTTTTCAGCAAAGTACACTTTTACAATTAAGTATTTGTTCTTTCAATGCTGACTGGTGTAATGTACACCAGCACTTTTCTGTTGCATTCAGGTCAGTAGATTTTGCAAACATTACTCTACACATGCATGTAGAAGGGAAAAATTACAAATTATTTCTGTGATGTTACCCAAAGTGGTGGACTGACCGTCCCTGGCGGGGATAACTGTTGAACTTGAACTTTTGCTTTCTTTATACAATGTTAGTTATATTTGCATTTGGGATAAACATATTCATTAGACACTTAATTTTCAATGAAAATGTTAAATTAAGGGATACATTACTCTGTTTTACAGTTAACTCATCATCCTGGTTTGACCACATCAGGGAGTGGCATTCAAAGAAAGACCAGTACAACATCCTCTTCCTGACCTACGAGGACATGAGTTTGGTAAGATGTGTTTTTTCCCTGTGGTTGTTCAGCATTTTCATGTACATGTAAATTTTTAAGAATACGTGTCTGTGTTTTAACTTGTTCTATGTTGGGCTTCTGTTTCTCTTTTAGGACCTGAAGACAGCGGTAACTAAGATCTGCACTTTTTTAGGGAAAAACCTGAGTGAAGCAGCCATTGAGCAAGTTGTAGAAAAATCTACATTCAAGACCATGAAGAAAGACTTGAAAGCAAACTACAAGTTTCTGCCAGAAACGATGCTGAAGGGAGACTTCATGCGCAAAGGTAACGTAACATAACTGTTGCTCATGTGCAGAAACGTGTAAACGAGATACTTGGTCTAGTTTTTTTCTTTTTATTACAGGTAAGATCGGTGACTGGAAGAACACCTTAACTGCAGCTCAGAGTGAAAGAGTTGATCAACTGCTTCAGGAGAGACTCGGTGATTTGTCTCTGAAGTTCATCTGGGAATAAGCAGAGCAACCACGCCAACAATAACAGGCTCACATGTCCTACTTTACTGACAGCACATACAGTAGCTGCTAATGTGTAAACTGCATCACAAAAAGCACCATTTACTCATGTTTGGGGAAAAATGAACACACAGAAAACACTAATAAAGTCAGTTGGTTAATCTGTCGTCTTTATTGAATGTCAAAAGGAATTAAATTGTTTCTTTATGTATGGTGAAGGCCCTCTGGCCACTGGAGCCAACTCAACACTTTATGAGTTATTCGGCCAGTTCATGATTTTTTCTCTACAAACAGCAACTAAATGCAAAATTAAAATATGATTCAAATATTATAACTGTAGGATTTAATGTTCAAAGTTGTTGAGCATTAATTATAAAATACACTACCTGCAAGACTGTCATTGTCATACATTAGGAAAGGTCATCCCATACAGCTATAGACTGTCAGTGATACACTTAAAGCAACATCAAAGACAAAAAGGGATCGAGTTGCATTTGGCGAGATTCTCCAACACAGTATCAGAACAGCTGTCATTACGCGCGGCTTTGGCGACTTATAGCACCCGTACCAATTCAATTCAATTCAATTCAATTTTATTTGTATAGCGCCAATTCATAACAGAAGTTATCTCAGGACACTTTTCAAATAGAGCAGGTCTAGACCGAACTCTTTAACATTAATTACAGAGACCCAACAGTACCACCATGAGCAAGCACTTGGCGACAAGGGCAAGGAAAAACTGCCTGTTAAAAGGCAGAAACCTAGGACAGATCCTCCGGCTCTAGGTGGGTGGTCGTCTGTCTCGACCAGTTGGGGTGAGAGAGAGAGAGAGAGAGAGAGAGAGAGAGAGAGAGAGAGAGAGAGAGAGAGGCAGAGAGAGAGAGAGCGAGAGACAGACAGACAGACAGGTGCACAGCAACAACAGTATTGGCAATGGCAGTCAAGCAGGACCATGGCAGGAGGCTCCACCAGGATCCATGAGAACCTGTGAGACGAGAAAGCACAAGAACTCCGGGGAAGAAGTAGAGTTAGTAACATGCATTAATGGGACATGATCTCATCACATGCACCTATAAACCAACGTGGTGAGATTTCAATCAATATTATTATTTCACGTCAGAGGGATGATCAATCATTAATCTATACAGCTCATACTCAAACAGACTTTACAAAGTGCTTCATAATTCAGCATCAAATAAAAGATCATTAACAGGGACATGATGGCGAATGTAAATAAAAAAAGAATAATAAAAGTAATTGACTCTTAAATTTTATATTAAAGCAATTGGTTACAAGCATATTTATGCGAAAAATAAGTAAAATTTCCCTTAAGTAGTTGCATATTTCTCCTTTCTCATATCGTTTGGCTTAGTGTTGGTGGTTTCTGTGGTTCCAGTCTTTTGATTCCAATAAAGTATAAATTCATTAGAACTGTGTGGTACTGTAAAATTAGTCAAAACAGGGCTGCCACGGGAAGGCTCAGTACCGCTAACCCTTTTTATTTTTTTGTGTTTTATGTTTTTATATTTTTTTTATAATGCGTTTTGGTTTTTTTGCCATTTTGTTTTTTATACTTTTTTAATACTTTTCTTATTTATACATATCTTTTTATATTTTCTTCAGTTGTTTCCTCTTATTCTGGTTTATTTTTTATACTTTTTTGCACTGTGACCTTCACTAGATTTACCATTAGTCGTCACACTCTTCCTCCCATAGAGGTTGATTATAGTGATTCTCACAATTCCCAACTTGACATGGTCCACAAGCAGGCATGCATGGTAGTCTATATGCCCTGCAACTGCACCGTTGTGTCCGGCAGACAGTTGTGCAATTACAGTGGATCATCTGCAGGAGGCTTTCTGGGGCAGCAGTCTTACTGGTCATAACTGTCAGGAACCGGTTGTCCACCAGTTTCCAACCCCAATCCACTGTGTTCATGTCACCTTCCTTTCCAATCCACACCATGATCTGGAAGTAAACTCTTTGGCAGTGGTATTTGGTTGAGGACTCTGTTGGAGGCAGACGTTCTGGGGTAACAAATGATTTGGCGGTAACGATTTTCTTGCTAAAAAGGTTGTAGCGCAAAGAGGCAAGTGAATCGGTACTCTTTCCGCCAAACAACACTGCCATTGCCTTGGTCCCATGGTCTTCTATGACATTCCTTGCTTGATGTTGGAGCAGAAACGCATTTGCACAGGACTGGATGGTTGATTCACAATTCACAAGTTTCTGGAATGCTGTCTGTTTGCCAACACTAAAAATAGTTGTATCACATCCTGTGAAGGCCTGAATAAACAGCAACTGGGAACACAAGTCACTAGCCAGGACTTGTTTCATCTCACTGATGTTGTACACTTTAGTAGCTTTGGACTTTATTGTTCGTCCCAGCATAGTAGAGGAGAAGAATGAGTAAGTCTGTATCCTCCCCTATTGAGGTTGTGGGCTGATGTTCTATGGCCTTGACTGCAGCTTTCACAATGTCCACGTCTGCATCACCTAATGCATTGACAACAGTGCAGCCCTTCTTCTCCAGCTCCTCGGTCATAAGATTGATAAGTCCTTGTTTGTTGCAAGATCTGGAAAGGAAATCATCCTTTCTTCCCACAAACTCAGTCTCTGCATTGAAGTTAACGATGGGGTCAGTGTTTTCACCACGTCTCTGATGCTTATTGTCTTTGATTGAAGGACCTTCGCTATAACCATCAAAAATTACTGTTGCTGTACCATAATGGCATATGGTAAAGCCTGCATATGACTGTGCAATGGCACCGTAACTGTCACCCTTTTTCCATGCCAAGCAGTGAACCAGGGAGCCACCGTCAAGGACATAATGCTCAGTTGGTGGGATGGAATCCAGGACAGTTTTGTTAGATTTCTTGCTTGAGAACTCAGTGACTGCCTGGGCTAGTTGGGGCTTGTTGGCTTTACGGAGGATTTCCTTGCCTTCGAACAGGACTGCAGGAAATGAGCAGAGCTCATGGCTCATTACATCTTCCAGTGAAAACTGTCCAGTTTTCGATAAGATCAGGAACCGATGGAACAGCAAAGCAGGATCAATGGTTCGGTATTGGGCAACTTTGATGGTGGAGTCATCTGCAACAACATTTCAATGAGGCAAGCAATATCAAATGTCAGTATTCTCTTCCCCCATCTTCTGAATTGCCAAAAATTGTGAATTTAGTTTTGTTGGGTTTAGTAAAATGCCACCTTTTATACTCAAAAACATCTATAGAGGATGCATTACAAATGTATTACCTTATTCAAATTGAAATTAGTGATCATTTTAGAGGGTTCACACACAGGCCTCTGTTCAGGCTAATTCAGAGTTGTTTATGATCAAAAGTTATACAACTCCAATTTAAGTTACTTTTGGGAGCAATAACTTTTACATTGAATGTCAAGTCTGTGTTTTAGCAAAAGAAAGGGTATGTGTCCAAAAACACGTACTGAGTAGGAGTTACATGACATAGGCTAAATCGTGTACATCTCTGGTTCACCCCAAACAAAGATAAAACCTTACAGTAATCTCACAAAATCATGTATTCCATAAGTATGTAATCTTGTCAGTGCAATTCAGACAAGTCCAATGGATTCATAGACCCAGAAAACATGGGGTTACACACCAAGATTACTTGGCTAGGTCAAATATCTGTCTGCATACTGTTTTGGGTCAGCACAACTCCCCAGTAGAAGCTCTTAGATTTTTCTTTAAAGTCACACTCCACAGCAGTGTCAATAAACTTGATTTGGTTTATCTTTTTATGCCTGTAAATCACTAATCTTCATCATTTCATGGTTTTACTAATTTCTTTAAAAAATATGGACAGTTCCAGAGGGGTTTTTAAACACTGTTATATTTCAAGCTTACTGTTGGTGGCAGTATATACCCAGCAGTCAGTATTTCCCTTACAGGAAGAAGCCAACAGCCAATAACATTCACAATCCAGTGTGCAAGTCCAGAGTCCAGCTACTACACATGTGACCATATGAATACATTTCTCTGCTTTTTAACATGGAACAGATCACCAACCATCTCGTCAGGTACAAAAACTACAACTTTGGCATTGGACTCACAACTGCAGAGCACATTGATTCACTCCAGAGCTTTGAAATTCGAGATGATGACATATTCCTTGTCACTTATCCAAAGTCAGGTCAGTGAGACAAACCTTTTGTATTTGCATTTAAAGTTTTGTCCATTGCTGAGAACTGGTGATGTCTCATAACTTATGTCCCCCCACAGGAACTATATGGACTCAGCAGATCATCATCTCCATCTGTGAGTTACACGGAGGTCTGAATGAATATCCAAACAACTTGGAGCAGATGCCGTGGCTTGAGTACACAGAGGGTCGAGGTGATTACTCTCTACGACCATCTCCACGGCTCTTCGCCTCTCACCTCACCCCGGCTCTCCTGCCTCTGGGACTGAAGGACAAGAAGGCAAAGGTCAGTATTTTATGGAAGCTAATAAATATACAGAGAAAGTTATAAATAATTAATCTGAATATACGTATAAAAGTATATTGTAAACTGAATTTATGAGTGGAGTTGGCAAATAATTAATATAATTAATTTTAAAAAATGCATTAATTATTTTCTCTATTGATCGTTTCGTTATGAAGTGTCAGAGAATGCCCACAATAATTTCCCAGACCTCAAGGTAACATTTTAATTCAAGTCCAAAACCCAAAGATATTAAAACATTTTTAATGTAAGACAGGGAAAAGCAGGAAATCCTTGTATGAGAAGTTGCAGATGTTGTCTGTCAAGGTAGAAACGGGGCTGCAGTAGCTCGGTCTCTAGGAGGGTGGCCGGTTGAAATCCAACACGGACCACAGTATGGAGTGTGGACTAGTAACTGGTGAGGAGGCAGGTCACCTCCTGGTAACTGGTGAGGAGGCAGGTCACCTCCTGCTCACTGCCAAGGTGCCCTAAAGGCCCTGAACCCTCCAGGTGTTGCTATGTGGCAGCCCATCTCTCCGCATTTACATTCTTATATGTGTCATTGTATTTGGTCAAAATTACAATAGTTCAACATTTGTCAAAAATTAGGATACAAATTTAATTTAATAAAATCTTTCTTTTTCCTGGCAGCAATGGGCTTCCATATTTAAAGTGCCTATGAGCTACTAATTAAGGTGCCATAAAATAGTGAATTATTTGAATGGAGTTTGGCATAGACAAGAGAATAGTATTGGTTTCAGCTCTGGGCTGATTGTTGTTTTTTATGTCAGATTATCTATGTGATGCGGAATCCAAAGGACAACATTGTCTCCTATTACCACTTCAGTGCTGCCATCAAGGACCTGGAGACGCCCAAGAGTTTTGAGCACTTTTTTGAGGACTATATGACGGGCAATGGTGAGGAACTTCAGGGTCTGGATAATGATCATGATCACCACATAGAGTTCAGTGCAGATTTTGACAGAAATATTCAAAAGATTTTTACATGTTATGCTAAAAAGTCTGGGTTATGTTCATTGATATATACAGAGCACTTTATTATGAACATTTCATCAACAATTTAGTAATGAGAACTTTTTTGAGGAGTATTTGATGGGCAACAGTGAGGTACTTCAGGATCTGGATGATGATAATGCTCATACGATTTAAATAACTATCTAATTGTGAAGACTTGACAGAAAGATAGGAAATACTTTTTAATTTTATGTTAAAGTCTGGATTGTGTTCATGTTGACAGATACAGAACACATGAACATTATCATCAACAATTCAAAAAACAAAACTATTTGAAATTAAAAATAATTTCAAATCTAAGTACTGGTTCTCTACATTATAGTGTAATATACACCATCTCTTTTCTGTTGGGTCAGTAGATTTAGCAAATCTGCATATATATTACTCTCAAAAGACGTTCTTCCCTTTACTACAGTTCAATGTGTGAGCGTCACTGTGCAGAATGATGTATGTGCAGAGGGACAGGGCCTATGAGCATGATCAGTTTGGATGTCAACCCAGGTGCAGTATGCAACTCATAGTGTGCTCCACCAGTGCACATACACTGAGAATGGACTTTATATTGAAGTAGGGCAAGTTCCCCAGGGGGAAATGAACAAAATTCATAGATTCTCAAATTTTTAATGAGGTAGTAAATGCATTTTTAGGGGTTTTAATGTGGAAATTATACTTTTGTTGGGGGGTCTTAATGCATGTTTGGACGGGACCTGATACAATATTATTATTTTACAGTTGGAGCATCATCCTGGTTTGACCACATCAGGGAATGGCATTCAAAGAGAGACCAGTACAACGTCCTCTTCCTGACCTATGAGGACATGATTTTGGTAAGATGTGATTTTTTTTCTGCTGCATTTATTAAGCATCTTCATGTAGTTTAGACTGCAGAAGGGTGTGGGGGAACGGAGGGAACACAATTCAAATGTATTAAATACTAAAAGGGCATGTTGAAATTCTAATATAAAGAATAGTATGTGTCTGTTAAAACTTGTTCTCTGTTGGGCTTCTGTTTCTCTTTTAGGACCTGAAGACAGCGGTAACTAAGATATGCACATTCTTAGGGAAAAACCTGAGTGAAGCAGCCATTGAGCAAGTTGTAGAAAAATCTACATTCAAGACCATGAAGAAAGACTCGAAAGCAAACTACAAGTTTCTGCCAGAAACGAGGCTGATGGGAGACTTCATGCGCAAAGGTAACGTAACATAACTGTTGCTCATGTGCAGAAACGTGTAAACAGATACTTGGTCTAGTTTTTGTTTTTTTATCAATACAGGTAAGATCGGTGACTGGAAGAACACCTTAACTGCAGCTCAGAGTGAAAGAGTCGATCAACTACTTCAGGAGAGACTCGGTGATTTGTCTCTGAAGTTCATCTGGGAATAAGCAGAGCAACCACACCAACAATAACAGACTCACATGTTCTACTTTACTGACAGCACATACAGTAGCTGCTAATGTGTAAACTGCATCACAAAAAGCACCATTTAAATGCTTTCTGACTCATGTTTGGAAAAAAAGAACACACAAGAGCAGAAGACACTAATAAAGTCAGTTGGTTAATCTGTTGTCTTTATTGAATGTCAAAAGGAATTAAATTGTTTCTTTATGTATGGTGAAGGCCCTTTGGCCACTGGAGCTGACTCCACACTTTATGAGTTATTATGATAACTGAGTAAACCTGCTTCTTGGAACATACCCCTGAATTTATATTAAGACAAGAATAATAATTAGTTTTACTTCTGAAATGTATTATGAAAGTGAATTTGGGCCATTAAATCTTGATTTGTTTTAAAGCTTGGGGCCAGTACATGATTTTTTTCTCTACAAACAGCAACTAAATGCAAAATTAAAATATGATTCAAATATTATATATGTAGGATTTAATGTTCAAGGTTGTTGAGCATTAATTATAAAATACACTACCTGCAAGACTGTCATTGTCATACATTAGGAAAGGCCATCCCATACAGCTATAGATTGTCAGTGATACACTTTAACTCTTAGTTTCAGTGGATGTAACAGGAAAGTCTGCACACCAGTTCATCTCTCATCTGCAGTTTGTGTTTCCTCACATCGTCAACTGTCAGCTGACATTAGCTACCAGCAGGTGGAGGCAGACTGGACCTGAGTCCACACTCTGTTCAGTCGACTCCAGCGGCTTTACCTCTTCAGTCAGAGATAAAGGTGTTCCGCGTTCAGTCTTTTTTTCAGGTTGTTCCTTTCAGATGCTGCGTGAGCGCCTGATTCTGTATATAAATCTCAGTCATTGTGGAAATGAGGGCGCCCTTAACATCCGTTTGAATATCGATACTTGTGCCCACTGTATCGCTCATTTGTGCAATTAATGGAACAATGAAAGGACATGATGGCGAATGTAAATAAAAAAAAGAATAATAAAAGTAATTCACTCATAAATAATTTAAAATTAAGTTTATGAATGCGGCTATTTTACAGAACGCTGTGTAGACTGCAAAGTAATAAACTTTTCTCGACTTATATCTGTCCATCTCATCATTTCAGCCGCAGTTATCTCTTGAAAACTGTGTGCGCCTGGTCTGTAGTACGCATGGTTTCTGTCCTGTAAAGTTTACAGTGTAAACTGCAGCAGGTGAGCTCTTATGTTAATTATATTGTTATGTAATTTAAGGATGGAAAATATCTGTTTGTCATCTTTAAAAACAACAACATGGTATCCAATGTTACCGAAACATGATTTATTTAACTCACAAACCAGGCTGCTGGACTCTCACCTTCTTCATCCTCATCAGATGTATGTGATGACTCCTGGTGGTGGCGCTGTCTTGGGGAGAGACTCTCTGGGCTTTCGCGGGGTTTGGTTGTGCGTTGGAAAGACACTTGGGGTGAACTCGTGGTGATTGGTGCACTGGGCTGTGTGTGGGTGTTTTCCACCTGTCTCCTCACAGTTGACGGGGAAACTGCAGCGCAGGTGTGCAGCGCCTGTTGACCGAGAGAGAGGAGCTCACAGACGATGTGCCTGAGAGGCAGAATGGGTGTAAAGTGAAGACGCCGGACTATGGCCGGGTCGAAAGCAAAGTGAAACCCGGGAGAACAGTCCAGTGTCCCAGTGCAAAAAGAGAGGACACCGAGCTCTGCACAGTCCGCTGCAGGAGAGACGCTCAGTGGGGCGTGCACTGGAGCCCTCCTCCAGTTAAGTCCCACTTCATATTTTTAAGCTGTTGGAGACGTGAGGAGCATCATAAAAGTTATGTAAGCTACTTCCTTTGTTTTCGTTTGATTTTTGTTTATTTGCGTGGATTTTTAGTTTCTTTTGGCTGCAGTGAATTTAAATCATTATTTTGACTCACCCCTATCAGTAAAGCTTGGCTGTTCTTTCTTACATAAACTCTTAATGCAGTAAGAGACTACAGATAAGTCTGTTGATTGCTTTCCAACTCTGTATTCGCCAGTTGGAGACGAAGCAGCAGGAGAGACTGAGAGCAACCAATTGCAGCTTGTAGCTATATGGGACAGTTTACTCTGTACCACTGGGGAATTTCCTTTCCCTTGACGGTATTTTATTCCTTTTTAGAGACTGTGATTTAGATTTGGTCTTTAAATTATGTTTTAAACTGGTTCTCAATCTGTGTATTTAAATTGGTTTTTATTTTGTCTTTTAATTATTAAATAGTGTTTAACCAAATATATGTCTGCATACTGTTTTGGTTCAGCACAACTCCCCAGTAGAAACTCTTAGATTTTTCTTTAAAGTCACAGTCCAAACCGGTGTCAATAAACTTGATTTTGTCTAGCTTTTTATGCCTGTAAATCACTGATAATATTCATCATTTCATGGTTTTACCAATTTCTTTCAAAAATATGGACAGTTCCAGAGGGGTTTTTAAACACTGTTATATTTCAAGCTTACTGTTGGTGGCAGTATATACCCAGCAGTCAGTATTTCTCTAACAGGAAGAAGCCGACAGCCAATAACATGCACAATCCAGTGTACAAGTCCAGAGTCCAGCTACTGCACCTGTTACCTGTGACCATATGAATACATTTCTCTAATTTGTCTGTGTGATTCAGAAGTAACAGAAACATGGAACAGATCACCGACTATCTCGTCAGGTACAAAAACTACAACTTCCCCATTGGACTCACTACTGCAGAGTATATTGATTCACTCCAGAGCTTTGAAATTCGAGATAATGACATATTCCTTGTCACTTATCCAAAGTCAGGTCAGTGAGACAAACCCTTTTGTATTTGCATTTACAGTTTTGTCCATTGCTGAGAACAGGTTATGTCTCATAACTTATGTCCCCCCACAGGAACTATATGGACTCAGCAGATCATCATCTCCATCTGTGAGTTAGACGGAGGTCTAAATGAATATCCAAACAACTGGGAGCAGATGCCGTGGCTTGAGTACCCAGAGGGTCGAGATTACTATCTGCGACCGTCTCCACGGCTCTTCGCCTCTCACCTCACCCCGACTCTCCTGCCTCTGGGACTGAAGGACAAGAAGGCAAAGGTCAGTATTTTATGGAAGCCAAAAAATATACAGAGAAAGTTATAAATAATTAATCTGAATATACGTATTAAAGTATATTGTAAATTGAATTTATGAGTGGAGTTGGCAAATAATTCATGTGCAGATTATGTTCTCAATTATTTTGTTATAAAGTGTCAGAAAATGCCCACAATAATTTCCCAGACCTCAAGTTAACATTTTAAATTCAAGTCCAAAACCCAAAGATATTAAAACATTTTTAATGTAAGACAGGGAAAAGCAGGAATTCCTTGTATGAGAAGTTGCAGATTCATTTTCTGTCAGTCGACTGATTCGTTTATTTCCCTTGCTCCTCCTGTCCACAAAGTGTCCGTGGACAAGACACTGAACCCTAAGTTGAGTGTGAATGAAAGGCCAGTTGTAAAGCACTTTGTCTGTCAAGGTAGAAACGGGGCTGCAGTAGCTCACTCTCTAGGGACTTGGCTTGGGAACCGGAGGGGGGCCGGTTGAAGTCCAACACAGTACGGAGTGTGGACTGGTAACTGGTGAGGTGCCAGTTACCTCCTGCCAAGCTGCCAAGCTGCCCTAAAGGGCCATGAACACTGCAGGTGTTGCTATGTTGCAGCCCATCTCTCCACATTTACATTTCTGTGTGTGTGTGTGTGTGTGTGTGTGTGTGTGTGTGTGTGTGTGTGTGTGTGTGTGTGTGTGAGAGAGAGAGAGAGTGACTGTATTTGGGCAAAATTACACTGAACAAAATTATAAACGCAACACTTTTGTTTTTGCCCCCATTCATCATGAGCTGAACTCAAAGATCTAAGACTTTCTCTATGTGCACAAAAGGCCTATTTCTCTCAAATATTGTTCACAAATCTGTCAACATCTGTTAGTGAGCACTTCTCCTTTGCTGAGATAATCCATCCACCTCACAGGTGTGGTAGATGCTGATAGCTGGCCACAAAAAAGGCCACTCGAAAATGTGCAGTTCCATCACACAGCACAATGCCAGAGATCTCGATGAAGTTTTGAGGGAGCGTGCAATTGGCACGCTGACTGCAGGAATGTCCACCAGAGCTGTTGCCCGTGAATTGAATGTTCATTTCTCTACCATAAGCTGTCTCCAAAGGCGTTTCAGAGAATTTGGCAGTACATCCAACCGGCCTCACAACCGCAGACCACGTGTAACCACACCAGCCCAGGACCTCCACATCCAGCATCTTCACCTCCAAGATCGTCTGAGACCAGCCACCCGGACAGCTGCTGCAACAATCGGTTTGCATAACCAAAGAATTTCTGCACAAACTGTCAGGAACCGTCTCAGGGAAGCTCATCTGCATGCTCGTCATCCTCATCGGGGTCTTGACCTGACTGCAGTTCGTCGTTGTAACCGACTTGAGTGGGCAAATGCTCACTGGCGTCTGGCACTTTGGAGAGGTGTTCTCTTCATGGATGAATCCCGGTTTTCACTGTATAGGGCAGATGGCAGACGTGTATGGCGTTGTGTGGGTGAGCGGTTTGCAGATGTCAACGTTGTGGATCGAGTGGCCCATGGTGGCGGTGGGGTTATGGTATGGGCAGGCGTGTGTTATGGACAACGAACACAGGTGCATTTTATTGATGGCATTTTGAATGCACATCACGTGATGAGATCCTGAGGCCCATTGTTGTGCCATTCATCCACGACCATCACCTCATGTGACCTACCTTGCAACATGGGGCCATGCATTATCATGCTGCAAGGATCTGTACACAATTCCTGGAAGCTGAAAACATCCCAGTTCTTGCATGACCAGCATACTCACCGGACATGTCACTCATTGAGCATGTTTGGGATGCTCTGGATCGGCGTATAGGACAGGTGTTCCAGGTCCTGCCAATATCCAGCAACTTCGCACAGCCATTGAAGAGGAATGGACCAACAATCCACAGGCCACAATCAACAACCTGATCAACTCTATGCGAAGGAGATGTGGTGCAATTGCGTGACGCAAATGGTGGTCAAACCAGATACTGACTGGTTTCCGGAGCCCGCCGGACCCCCCCAATACAGTGAAACTGCACATTTTCGAGTGGCCTTTTATTGTGGCCAGCCTAAGGCACACCTGTGCAATACCCATGCTGTCTGATTAGCATCTTGATATACCACACCTGTGAGGTGGATGGATTATCTCAGCAAAGGAGAAGTGCTCACTAACAGATTTTGACAGATTTGTGAACAATATTTGAGAGAAATAGGCCTTTTGTGCACATAGAGAAAGTCTTACATCTTTGAGTTCAGCTCACGATGAATGGGGGCAAAAACAAAAGTGTTTTATGAGCTACTAATTAAGGTGTCATAAAATAGTGAATTATTTGAATGAAGTTTGGCATAGACAAGAGAATAGTATTGGTTTCAGCTCTGGGCTGATTATTGTTTGTTTTTTATCTCAGATTATCTATGTGATGCGGAATCCAAAGGACAACATTGTGTCCTATTACCACTTCAGTGCTGCCATCAAGGACCTGGAGACGCCCAAGAGTTTTGAGCACTTTTTTGAGGACTATATGACAGGCAATGGTGAGGAACTGGATAATGATCATGATCACCACATAGAGTTCAGTGCAGATTTTGACAGAAATATTCAAAAGATTTTTAAATTTTTTATTTAATTTTAATTAAATTTTTTAATTTTATGTTAAAGTCTGGATTGTGTTCATATTGACAGATATAGAACACATGAACATTATCATCAACAATTCAAAAATCAAAACTATTTGAAATTAAAAATCATTTCAAATATTTGGCCAACGACACAGGTAAGAACTGGTTGTCTCAATGCTGAGTTATAGTGTAATATACACCATCTCTTTTCTGTTGGGTCAGTAGATTTTGCAAATCTGCAGATATATTACTCTTGACTATTTAGTAAGTCCCCCTCTACTCATAAGACGTTCTTCCCTTTACTACAGTTCAATGTGTGAGCGTCACTGTGCAAATTGATGTATGTGCAGAGGGACAGGGCCTATGAGCATGATCAGTTTGGATGTCAACCCAGGTGCAGTATGCAACTCATAGTGTGCTCCACCAGTGCACATACACTGAGAATGGACTTTTTATTGAAGTAGGGCAAGTTCCCCAGGGGGAAATGAACATAATTCATAGATTGTAGAGGTAGTAAATGCATTTTTAGGGGTTTTAATGTGGAAATTATACTTTTGTCGGGGGGTCTTAATGCATGTTTGGACGAGACCTTTAAATTCTGATACATTATTATTTCACAGTTAACTCCTCATCCTGGTTTGACCACATCAGGGAGTGGCATTCAAAGAGAGACCAGTACAACGTCCTCTTCCTGACCTATGAGGACATGATTTTGGTAAGATGTGATTTTTTTCCTGCTGCAGTTATTCAGCATCTACATGTGGCTTAGACTGCAGAAGGGTGTGGGGGAACGGAGGGAACACAATTCAAATGCATTAAATACTATGAATTACAAAGAACATTTAAATTCTAATATAAAGAATAGTCTGTGTTAAAACTTGTTCTCTGTTGGGCTTCTTTTTCTCTTTTAGGACCTGAAGACAGCGGTAACTAAGATATGCACTTTTTTAGGGAAAAACCTGAGTGAAGCAGCCATTGAGCAAGTTGTGGAAAAGTCTACATTCAAGACCATGAAGAAAGACTCGAAAGCAAACTACAAGTTTCTGCCAGAAACGAGGCTGAGGGGAGACTTCATGCGCAAAGGTAACGTAACATAACTGTTGCTCGTGCAGAAACATGTAAACAGATACTTGGTCTAGTTTTTGTTTTTTTATCAATACAGGTAAGATCGGTGACTGGAAGAACACCTTAACTGCAGCTCAGAGTGAAAGAGTCGATCAACTTCTTCAGGAGAGACTAGGTGATTTGTCTCTGAAGTTCAACTGGGAATAAGCAGAGCAACCAGTAGCTGCTAATGTGTAAACTGCATCACAAAAAGCTCCATTTAAATGCTTTCTGACTCATGTTTGGACAGACAGACAGACACACCAGGAAAAAATGAACACAAGAGCAGAAAACACTAACTCAGTTGGCCAATCTGTCGTCTTTATTGAATGTCAAAAGGAATTAAATTGTGTTTCTTTATGTATGGTGAAGGCCCTTTGGTCACTGGAGCCGATTCCACACTTCAATTCTCTTCATCTAGAAAGAGGAAAGAAAACAAGATTCACATCAAACAAGATATCAGTCAAGTGTGACATGTAAACCCAGAAAATCTCCTCTTACATCAGTAATGTAGCTGCTGACACATTGCATGTTGTAATAACACAATTTTCATAATGTCGCCATTTTACTGCATTTGACATCTCCCAGCTCTAATGTGAATAGTAGTTTAATGTAATTGATGGAAAATCTGTTTGCCATCTTTAAAAACATGTTCAACCGTTTTTAATTTATCTCAAACTGTAAATGTACATTAAAGAACTTAACACGTGGAGTAAAACAACTCAATCTCACCTTCTTCCTCCTCATCCTCTTCATCTTCTTCTTCCTCCTCCTCTTCATCAGAGCTGAAGGTTCCATCAGGCAGGCTGTACACCCGAATCACTTGCTGTAGAGACAGAATATCGACCCATGAGCTCAACAATTCACAACCGCCTTTAAAACAGCATGTTTTTATGAATCCCTGCAGCACACGGCGTGATTAGACAGTGACGGCTCACCTTGTTGGGGTCCTTGAGGATGAGGTACTTGCCCTCGTCCAGCTTGCGGCAGATATCGATGACGCAGCGGAGGATTCCCCAGGCGTTCTCCATGCTCAGGTTGATCTGGCTGGCGAACTCGTTGGGCTTGAACTGCTGGGTGCCCAGGATGACGTGACGAGCAGAGTCCTTCACGTGGTATCGAGACACGTACCTACAGAACACAGTCATTTAGTCTTCAGTCAGTCAAGCTTTAACAAACTAGTACTGCTCTGTTACAATTTGTGCTTGTCTTTATCAAGGCAAAGTACAGACATAAATAAGTTTGCTCCAGGCTGTGTGTTTGTTGATTTTGATAAACCTGGAACAGATAAGTTATCAAGATACATCAGTTTCTCAGAGAAACCTAAAAGTAACTATTTTGCATTTTAATGTTTATTCGTTACATCCCCACCGTGAAACAGCCTTAATACAACAGTCCTGCAATAAATAAGTGATCTTCAGTAATTTTGCTGAATATTCTCAGAGCCTCAGTCGTACCTGTTTGCATATTGTTGGTCACACTACGGTAGAAAGTTAAATGCTAAACATTATGATGTGGCCTCCGTCTGCACATCTCCTGTATTCTTCCATATATATTCAGTCTGACAGATTGTGTGTGAGTTCCTCACCCCAGTTTGAGGTACTCTGATCCAGCCAGCATGGCGCAGCAGGTCCAGCGGGCCAATTTGTAGCTGTTATTCTTCAGCTCAGTGGCCAGGACGGCTCCCCTCTGAGAGTCCAGCTTCTGACGCCAGTCCACCCCGTTACAATACTGAGGATTAAACAGAGCAACAACAGCTTTAACAATTCAACTGATACTAAAGCTAAAAGGGTCCATGTAGGATTAAAGCACATACTCAATCCACACTTAAAATCTTCAACACAAGCTGAAAAAGGAATTTTTAATAAACTTTTTATGGTTATTCTTATTCTATATGTCCTAAACATATTTTCTGGGACTGGCACAGTCTAATAGGAACTTTCCATTGTGACAACAAAAGCAGTCTCGTTGGTCTTTTGATCATTAAGTGATTTACTGTGTGTCCGTTGGGGAGATTTGCTGCCGCTGTGTCTGTTTGATCAAGGTAAAAAATTAATATTTACTCTGAGTCTCTATTTGCTGAGGTCAGGATTCCTCCAAAACAAACAAACAGAACAACAAAGAATATGGGCCACTGGATATTTACCTTTTAAAAATAGTGCGATGTTGTGAACTCAAAAAGATTTTGTTAAGTTCCGTTAAGATAATAATTTAAGAAATAAAAACGACATTTGCACAAACTAAACGTTAAAAGATCGTGTTTTCTGGTTAATATCACAATGTTCCCCCTCATGCTTTCCCTTACCCTGGAGTCCCACTCGTTCAGGGTCTTGACATTAATGAAGGACACTTCTCCGTTGGCACCGGTCATCACTCCATCGTGCTCGCAGCGGACGATCAGATCGATGTCTTCCCCAAGCTTCCAGTGACGGTACCTAAAACACAAACACAAACCATCAGACTGAGAGGAAGCAGTTTAACATCCAATCACACCGAAATATGCTTGTGTATGAACATCAGTTTTATTAATGTTACAACAGCCTTTAAGTAACTGCCCCCTTCTAAATCCTTTGTACAGGCTTGCAGATGTCCTGATGATAATGGACATAACTATAAAGCAACCAGCAGGGTTCAGTGTCTCACCTGTAGGCTACAGACGCCACCTCACTCTTGTCCATATCTTCCTCCACAAATGGGTTGGAGTTAGGAAACTTGTGCCGCTCTCCACCCTGAGGGAAAGAAAACAAACATTACACATCTTCACTAAATTAACACATTTAGAAAGCTTTCTGTCTAAGAGTGCTCAAAGAAAGATAAGTAATGTGTGACTTGATACCACAGACAAACGTGTATGTATGCCTGGAAAATCTGGAAACAGAAGGAAACAGCTAGCTGGCGAGGGGTAGGGGGTGTAGGGGCTTAAATTGTGCGCATTCTTACCATGCGTAAACACTGCTGGCTGAAGTTGTGGTTGATGTATGTGGCCTCCATGGCCAGGTTACGAGGTGAGTTGAAGGAGTTGCCTTCATCCTGCGGGGGCTCGTTGGCAGTCTCACTCACGGTCAGCAAATCTATAAAGAGAAGGTACAACAAATGTTAAAGCAACACAACAGGGAGGTAACATGTAAAGCTCCTGCGTGAAGGCAGCAGTGATTATCATCAGATTCTAGTAAAGGGCCGGTTTCACAAAGAGAGACAACAGACCAGTCTAAAATCTCTCTGTGGAACCGGCCCCTGGGGTTAGAAGATCTCTTAAATCCTCACCAAAGTCAGAGTTGTCTCTCTTGTCGAAGAACAGCTTGTTGCCCACTCTCTGCACAATGATGTCCCAGGAGTTGACTGAGCGTGTGCAGCACATCAAGGTGGCCAAGATGGCATCAGTGGCAAACACATTACCCTGAGTCTTAGCCAACTGCAGAGAGAACAAAAAGAAAAAACGGGTTTCCAAAGAATCCAAACTACAAACTCCAGACTGTCCTTATTGTGTGAACCAGAACAGCTCATTATGGAAAATAACCTTGCGAATGACGGGATCGTCAGTGGTAGTGACGGTGTGGAAGATCCTCTTGATGCTTTTGAGCTGCTTCTCATTGCGAGTGGTGATTCGGTCAAAGGCTTTATCGTAGTACTCCAAAGCACCACAGCACTCACTGCAGGCAACAGGAAATAAACATTGGTCTCTTTCTGCATTTCCCCTCCCGTTAAACACGTTTAACGAGTGATGACGAAGAGCAGGTCCGTCGCACTTACATGTCAAGAGGGTCAGCCACCTCCATGTATCTCATCTTCATCAGTCTGGGGAAGTCCATCTCCTCCTTCACCTCCCAGTCGCTCCTCACCTCCACTGACGAGTCTCTGGGCTTCAGCTGGGCCTTAAAGAAAATGGACACGGGGGGGGGAGGGGACAGGGAGAAAGGGGGAGAAGGGAGAAAGGTAGAACAAACAGAAACATCCAAGTTAACAAAAAAATATATAAAGAAGATTCAAATACACAACGGATTCAAGAATACACCCACAAAACAAACTTTTGGTGTTTCATCCATATTTATAAACATGTTATCCCCGAAGATTCATGTCTTGTTTATCCAGTAAACAGCTGTAAATTATTTGTATTATCTTGATTAATCCTTTGGTCAATAAAATATAAGATAATAGTTTAAAAGGCCTATTATATTATAAAGATAAAAAATGTTTCCGTCATATATCACAAAGAAAAACCAGAATAAAGATCAATTAAGCGACCCGAACCTGGGATTTTTGGTCCCACTTCTGACGGACACCAAACTGCTTTTGGAACTTTTTCTGCAGGCGCATACGATCCCTGAAAGACACAAACGTGAGGTTGAACTGAAGTGTTTACGATGTGACGAGCTGTCAACACAAAATGTGCAGACGTGACTTTTTTCTTCTCTTGTGGCGACAGAATCTCACCTCTCCTTTTGCTTGGCACTCTTAGGAAGCGTCTGCATGTTGAACTGAGTCAGGTTCCTACGGTCCTTGTCCCTGCGCAGGTTCCTCTGTGGAAACAAACATCACGTTACGTAAAAAACAGAACCCGAAACATCTTAATTAACTGATGTTTGAGGCAAAAGGAGACGCTCAGTGTGTCTGTGGGCTTCTGTACCTGAGCAAACCTCATGCGGTTCCTCTGGTAGGCGGTCTTCTGCGTCTTGGCGGTGTCCACCAGCTGGAAGCTCGTCTCATCCTCCTCATGAAAGTAGGCGTACTGGCTACCGCCTCCAAACTGAGAGGAATACTTATCTGAAAAACAAAATGAACACATATTTATAAGAAATCAACTTGACAACAGGTAATGATCAGTGTTTCTTTAATTTAAACAACTAATGAGGTTTAAAAGATGTCAACAACAAACCATAACCAGAATATAAGTTTCAACTTGCTGTTAAAATACTTTGAATTACATGTAAATAAATGTTTGTCTGTTGTTTTAGGACGTTTAAAAGCAGGAAACGTCAGATTCTGATATATTCATAGTGATTGATCGATCGATCGGGTGCACAGCGGTCTCACTCACTCGTGTATCTCTTGTCTTGATAAGTCGCTCCAGTCCAGTCCGCAACCTGACAATGAGAACACACAACATAAGACAACGTATAATAACTTTATAATAACTTTATAAAGCACATAACGTGAGGAACACAAACCTTTCCCAGGCGGTCTCCTTTGCTGAAAGGCTGGTAGGGCATGTCTTTAAACTTCTCTGGGACCGCACACGGACCCCATCCGGACGGGTTGTCCTGGATCACCGGGGCGTTGAACTTGGCCATGGCCTGAAAGTCAGAGCGAAGAACACAAGACTCGGGTGACTGAACAGTGAAGTACGACCAGAACAAACCCAGTACGACCAGAACAAACCCAGTACGACCAGAACAAACCCAGTACGACCAGAACAAACCCAGCCAGAACAAACCCAGTACGACCAGAACAAACCCAGAACAAACCCAGTACGACCAGAACAAACCCAGTACGACCAGGCCTGAACTGAAAAGGGTTGCACACAGTCTGCACATGCGCAGGGTCTCAGCCAATAAGCAGCACTGATTTCTGCAGCCACGCACTCACAGGAAGATGCGCAGATCAGTTTGCGCAGTGGGCTAGTCATCATCGATCCCTGAGCATCCCTTTAATTATCGATTACCTATCGCTGTTACTCATTGAATCCGTCAGCAAAGCGGGAAAATATAACCCCAGTCGCACAAT